GAAAGTGGCACAGGACAGAACCCTAAAAATTTTAAGTCCATTCTATGTGTGGGGGCTGAGTAAATATCCTGGTCATTGGAAGGGACCAAATTGGATTCCTTCTCCAGTCACACAAATTGATTTGCTATTAACTGTACTTCTGCTGCATGGCTGGGCCTCCTTCCTTTCCTGTACTTTTTTACCTCTTGGGGAGACAGCAAAGAGAATTCATAAAATCATGGAACGGTTTGGGTTGGAAAGGATGTGAAAGATCATCTAGATCCAACCCCCTGCATGGGCAGGGACACCTCCCACCAGCCCAGGTTGCTCCAAGCCCCATCCAACCTGCCCTTCAACACTGCCAGGGATGGGGCAGCCACAGCTTCCCTGGGCAACCTGGGCCAGGGCCTCACCAGCCAGTTGTTGTAGCTATGACTACGTGTCCTACAGCTGCTGCTGACTAAGCTTAGACAGTTACAAAGAGCATGACCTCCTCTCCTGTGGCTTGCACTGTCCATCTGTGTGACTTTGCCCCTTTAAGCTGAGTCACTCTAGATGCTGGGTGTAATTTTAATCAGTAAACTGTTCTGTCCTGCAGACACAGCCAAGTGACACCACAAAGTGGCCAGACTGAATCTGGTGGAAAACTGTTCTCTAGTTCTCCCTGCACAGCTCAACTCCAGCAGAGCTCACTGTGCTGAGCTCAGTCCATGGCCTGCTGCCTTTTCCCAGTAATTCTGTATGTGTAGGTGATAAGGAGTTACCTGTGACTTGAACCTGGAAGGTGAATGTTTCTCTTTTCCCCAACCCATTCTGGAGCTCGATGGTGTAGGTGCCGCTGTCGGTGAACTCGGCTGCTTCAATCAGCAGCTGGGCGGTGTCATCTTGGGTGTTTATTGTAGCCTGGTCTGGAAGGGGAAGCCCATCCTTTAACCAGGTCACTACTGGATCTGGAGCTGCCTGTAAAGAACAATACCAGTTATAGCTCACTTGTTTTGCCTCCAGATTGTGTCTTTACACCTCTAGCTCCATTGTCTCCTCCCAAATATACATCTACAAGAGGCAGGAGAGCGACACTTGGAAACATGATAATATCACAGACTGGTTTGGGTTAGAAGGGATTCAAGATCATCTAGATTCAACCCCCCTGCATGGGCAGGGACACCTCCCACCAGCCCAGGTTGCTCCAACCCCCATCCAACCTCCCCTTCAACCCTGCCAGGGATGGGGCAGCCACAGCTTCCCTGGGCAACCTGGGCCAGGCTCTCACCACCCTCACACCAAAGAATTCCCTCCTCATCTCCAACCTCAATCTCCCTCTTCCACTTTTCATCCAGCCCCCTCATCCCATCCCTCCCTGCCCTTGTTCAAAGTCCCAGCTTTCCTGGAGCCCCTTCAGGCACTGGAAGGTGCTCTAAGGTCTCCCTGGAGCCTTCTCTTCTCCAGGCTGAACACCCCAACTCTCCCAGCCTGGCTCCAGAGCAGAGCTGCTCCAGCCCTCCTAGCATCTCTGTGGCCTCCTCTGGACACTCTCCAGCAGCTCCATGACCTCTTTATGTTGGGAGCTCCAGAACTGGATCCAGCCCTGCAGGGAGGTCTCACAAGAATGGAGTAGAGGGCGAGAATCACCTCCTTTGACCTGCTGGCCACACTTCATTTGATGCAGCCCAGGTGACAATTGGCTCTCTGGGCTGCAAGTGCACAACCACTTCATAAGAGAGTAAATAATCCAATAGGATTTGTAAGAAGTAATAAAAAAGTGGGAAAACTGTTTCATTTGAAGAGGAAAGGGGGTCTAACCAGACCTGATGCACATTGCCAGCCCATGTTGAGCTTCTCATCCACCATCACCCCCAAGCCCTTCTCCTCAGAGTTGTTATCAATCCATTCTACACCCGACCTGTATTTGTGTTTGGATTCCAGATGGATCTAAGAGCCCTGGAGAAAGGGCTGCTCTAACCTTTCTTTGCATTTTTCTCTGTGTCTTTTAAGAATGTTACTGTAGCAAGGTGTTCAGGTGAACTGTGTCAGATGAGATGTGCTGCACCACCACCAGATCACACCAGTAGTTACTATTCTCTACTTTTAATAAGATCTGTTTGTTTTGGAAAGAAAAAACATCCTCAAAGTGTCATCTCTGGTTTCTCTTCTCCAGGAGATTAGGAGAAGGCCCAGCAAATATAGACACTTTGTTCTCATCAACCTGTTCTGGGTATCCCAGACTTTCCAGGTGTTGTTCCAAGCTTACACCAAAGCACCCAGGAGTTCTGTCAGTGCTTGCCTGTTTCCCAAGTCATACAACTCAAGTCCTGCTGCTTAGTAACAAACAAGGTCAAGAAGGTGTTGCTAGAAATGCTGCCCCAAGGTCTTCCAGAGGAAAACCAACTGATTTTTAAGCTTTAAGAGTGACAGATTAGTGCCAGATGATGGTGATTATGATATGGTTGGAGGGACATGATTGTGCCTTGTTTGCAGAGGTTGATGAATGACCATAACCTCATGAAACAGTCATGCCAGGAGTGACAGCTCCATTCTTGTTCCTGTTTTTCTCATGCAGAAGCACACACAGCTCAGGCAGGCTGAAGGATCAAAACCAAAACCAAAACCCCAGGCCAAGAAAACTGCAGCTCAGGTTTCACATCTGCTTTTGACAAGAAGAGGAGATGTGGAATTGCTACATACATCTCTGAATACTTACTTCAAAGGGAATATTCACTCGGATGGGATTTCCTGCTTTTATAACCAGGAAGCTTTTCACTGTGTCATCTATTAGAAACCTGGGAGAAACTGGAGAAGACAGTGATTTCAATGAAAATAAAGGCAAATTTGTTACTCCAACTGCCCTTTCAACAGTACTCTGCAGGGTTTTGATAAACTCAGTGGCACTGTGGAAAAAAACCTCCTTGATTCATGAACAGAGCTGATCTCTTTCTAATTGTATTACTATTTATTGATCACCAAGACTGAACAAGGGGAAATGATGTAAAAATTAATTCACAATGAAGTTTGTATAGATGTGATGTCTCAACCACAGAGAAACTGCAATGGACACTTAAAAAAATATATGCTTACATAAAATAAAATGTATATAAAATAACCTATATGAATACAGAGCATCCTATGGAAACCACCCTGAGTTAATTAAAAATAATATTTTTAGTATTTATTTTTTTCTTTTTTTCCCTCTTTTCATCAATATAAAAGACTATTATATTAAGCATTTTTCTAAAAATGGCAAATAAAGTTGCATTTCTTTGTATTTAGAATTTCCAGGTCAGAAATAAGAAAAGTTCTTCCCAGAATCTTCCCAGATGGACTTGCAGTTATTTGTTCACTGACTGATTACTAAAGGAGTCTCTGAACACAGCCCAAAATTATTTTTATGTTGAACCCAAGTTAGGGAAGATCAATCCCCCAGAAAATAACCTCTCACTTCTTTACTTCTGCAATGCTCACAAAAAACAGGAAAAAAACAAACAAAAAAACCAGCAAAAAACCCCCCAAAAAACCCAAAATAAAATCAAAGTTACAGATTGTAAATAAAGACTAAAAAAAGTGAAAAAGGAGCATTTGAACTAGAAAATTAAGATGGGAAAATAAATATTATAATAACTAAAATAACAATTGCAGAGAATGAAACAAAATGTCTAATCCTAAAGGACCATAAAAATAGACTGAAAACTTATTTTTTTCCATTAAAAAAGCCTGGGTAGGCATAAGGTTTGTATGGTTTCTGTCTGGTGATTATGACTGTGGGACAGGTCCACACAAGGGCCAAAAAGTAAATCTGAGGAGAATAGACAGTTGGGGGGTTCTTTTATCACAGTGAGTCTTTCAACATGAGCTGAACATTGTGAATTGTACATTTATTATCAGACAAATCTTTAGAGTTTCCTGGGGAGGCAAACTAAGCTCTCTGGAGCCAATCAGAATTACAGGCACTTCTGGATTATGTTCTTAGTTTCAGGCTGTCCCGTGAGGAGCAGGGAGTTGGACTCTGTGACCTTTATGAGTCCCTTCCAACTTCAGCTCTTCTATGGTTCTATGAAATGTGACCAGACCCCAGAGGAGCAACACAGTATTTGCTCTTCTGCTGCAGTCTGGGACCTCAAAGCAGCTTATCACACTGACCTACCAAGCTTGTCTGCATCCTGTTACCTATAGAATCATGGAACAGTTTGGGTTGGAAGGGACCCTAAAGATCATCCAGTTCCAACCCCCTGCATGGGCAGGGACACCTCCCACCAGCCCAGGCTGCTCCAAGCCCCATCCAACCTGCCCTTCAACACTGCCAGGGATGGGGCTCTCTTCAGAATCCTTTCAACTTACCTACAGGGGGAGCACCTTCCATGCAAGCTTCAAGCTCTACAGCTTCTCCTGGGCCACTGTCATTGAGGGCTCTCACACGGAGGAAGTATATCTCCTTGGGTTGGAGGCCTTTGACTGTGTAGGTGGTGGCCTCGATGGGAACAACATTGCACTTGGTCCAGTTGAGGCTGTCAGAAGACCGTATCTCCACCTCATAGCCTGTCACAACATTCCCATCTTTTGCTTCAGGTGCCTTCCATGTCAAGGTGACACTAGTGCAGTCACTGCTGCTCACTTTAAGGTCCTGCACTTGACCTGGAGATTCTGAAAATGGAATCACAGAATCAGAGTGGTCAGGGTTGGAAGGGACCTCTGAGGATCTTCTATTCCAACCCCCCTGCTAAAGCAGGGTCACCTACAGTAGTAGGAAATTTTATTTAAATTATTTTTCTAGGATTTCTATCCCCTCTCTTCAATCACTTCCTGAGATTCCCAACATCCTTGCAGTGCACTGGATATCCACCCTGCTGTCTTGACTCCATCTTGTCCCAGTTCTTCAAACCTGAATCCAGGTGCCTGCTCCTTGCCAGCCATGCAGTACAAGCTGCAACACTCCTGAACCAGTCTGCAACCCATCCTGAAGACCTCTGAACCCTGAAGACCTCTCCACACCTCACATAACTGCTGCACGGGGAGTCTGTCACATCTGGACATCACACAGAACACTTTTCCATTCCCTCCTACTGCTGATAAACATCAGCCTCAGCCATAAAACATTCCTCAATCACTTGATCTTTGTCTCCCCAAACTTCTGCGAAGCATTTACAAACATGGCCTCTCCACAACCACCCCAGCCCACATTCAGCTTCACGTGTCCCCAGACCAGCAGGATGGGCAGGGCACTTACTGGTGGAATCCCGGGCAAAGACAGGCTGGGAGGGTTCACTGGCATCTCCTGTGCCAGCAGCATTGACAGCTGCCACACGGAACTCATACTGCAGCCCTTGCTTCAGCTTGCTCACCTTCAGCTGCTTGTCTGCAGAGACACAAGAAGAGCCTTGGCTCAGATGAGCTGTTCCCAAACAGGGAAGGGTGAGATAATGATGTTTTACTTTAATCCATGCAGAATTGTGCACTGAATCATTCTCAGGAGCCACATATAAATGCTGTTTCCCCTGCCTGCACCTATGTAAGTGCTTATGTATTTCTGGGACACATTCATTGCACTCCCTTGCAAATCCATCGGTATTTGAGAACTATTCAGGTACAGACAAGCTAAATACTCCTTTTCCTCATGGGATCATCCTAAACTCTTCTCTACCAGATAAGAAGCCCTAGCTTGCAACTGATAGATATTTGATAGCTACATTCAGACCACATCTTGGAGATCATACTTGGGTTTATCTTCCTTGCATCCATAAATTCTTGGCTGCCAAGTTCCTAGCGTGGGGCCTAAGGACACTACTTCTGCATGTGAAGTGAAAATTTTAGTTCCAGAAATCAAAGACATCAGTTTATCTATAAAGGAGCTAATGTCCCAAGATGCAGCAGTGAGCTTCTCTGCACTCTTCTCCAACCCTATTGGGAAAAAGAATTGTAATCCTCTTCCCAGGCATTCAGGTGCATAGAAACCCAAGGCCCAGATTTGCTGTGGCACAGCTGTGGAACCTCACTTGTGAAAAAACATGGACACTAGGGCTGTGAAAGACAGGAAGGTAAAACTTCAGACAGGGGTCATGGGGCTGTGATGAGGACAGCCAGCAGCTCAGGACAATGTGGCTGTGATGGGGACAGCCAGCAGCTCAGGACAGTGTGGCTGTGATGGGGACAGCCAGCAGCTCAGGGCTTCAGAAGGAAAAGCACTGACATGAAAAGGTTTAAGATCCTAAGCAGGAAGCAAGGAGTTAGAAGGCAGCAACTCCACAAAGATCAGCCTGTTACCTTCTGAACCCAGCTGACCTTTGTGCCTTCTTCCAGCCTTTCAGCCTGTTCCAGGACCAAGCTGCCTACCTGCTGTGGGCACCGTGTTGACTGGCAGCCACGTCACGCTGCCCTTCTTGCGCTTTTGAACCAGGTATCCCACAATCCCGGAGGTGCCCGTTTTCCGAGGGACTTTCCAGGATATTGTGATGGTCTCTTTGCTGGTGCTGACAATCTGAGGGGGATCTGGGGCATCAGGTGTAGCTGGAAGGAGATCAGGGTTTCATTGTTAGCAGGTATATTTTTATTGCAAGATAAAGTGTTCTGTGTCATTTATCCTTCCCGTTTCCCCGTTCATCAGGATGTGTTTTGAACATGTGACTGAGACCTAAAGGTGTGTGTCCTGTTCCCTGCACAAACAGGATCCAGCATGAACCTCTGCTCCTGAATTTTGCTTTCATGAAGGACCTGCTGCCATCACAGCTGACAATTCCCCTCTCAGCCTGTGGAGCGAAGCATTTACATTCTGACATGATCAGAAAAGTCAGAATGATTCCTGCTTTTAATAGCAGAAAATGGAAATGGAATGGATTTCTTAGCTCTCTTCAAAATTCAGGGCTTCTCATAATCATGAGAATGTAGAAAGAAAAAAATGAGAAATAGCCCAGAGCAGTGTTTTCTCTCCAGTACTGCATTCATGGTAAAACTGTTTGAGTATTTGAACTCACTGAAGGACAAAGAAGAGAATTAACTGCTTGGAAATCAGGGGAGTGAAGAAGTCAGGCTGAAAATGCTGCACATGCAGAGATTCTCCCTTGCCTATGGAGTTAGAAAACTGGAAGGGACAGCTCTCCCCCAGGACATCTCTCCATTGGAACATCAGCACAGCCCTGTGTGATCTGCTGATCCACAGAGAGATGTCCCAGTGCAGAGATCTCCTAGACCCTTAAGAATAGGTCTCACAAGTTCCCTTTGTAGCCATCCCAAGATAAAATTTTCTCTGATCTTGAAGCATCTTGCATCCCCCCATGAAATTTGCTTTCCAATTCAGAATGGAGCATAACTGAGAACTTAACACCTTCTCACTTGGAATCAAAGCCTACAACAAACTTCCCAACGCGTGGTCTCCATGGATTTGTGGAGATCTCACAGCTGTGATTCAAGTTTAGATCTGTAGCAACATTCAAAATGCAGCACCTTTGCTTTGGTGTCAGCTTTGAAAATTAATTTCCCCACCAATTGTCAAACACAATTATGGGAAGTTCTTCCTCACCTTTACTGACAGCCTTCACCTCCTCTGATTCCAGGGCGTCGCTGCTCCCCTCAGCATTCACAGCTCTCACCCTGAAGTAGTAGCTCATGTCTTGTTCTACTTTGTTAGTGGTGAAGGTGGTACAGCTCCGGGGGGTTTCTCCCAAAGCCACCCAGTCGTTCCTGCCCACCTGCTGACTCTCAATAATGTAGCTCTGCACTGGTTTGCCCCCATCATCACTTGGGGGCTTCCACTGAATGGTGATGCTGTCTGCAGAGCTTTCCACAATTTTGATGGGACCTGTAGGTGGCTGTGGCTTGTCTGAAAAGGTGAGCACAGAGAGAGTCTGAATTAGCTCCAGAGTCAGGTGTGCTCCTGGGTTTGGAGCAGAACCACAGAATTGTCACAGTTGGAAAAGAGCTTCGAGATCACCATGTTGGACTGTCAACCCCCACCCTCCCGAGAAAAGCTCACTAGAGCATGTCCTGAAGTGCCTCATCTACATGTTTTTTAAATACCTCCAGGGATGGTGATTCCAACACCTCCCTGGGCAGCTTGTTCCAATGACTCATCTTTCAGTAAATAAATTCTTCCCAATATCCAGTCTAAATCTCCCCTGGCCCAACTTCAGGCCATTTCCTCTGGTCCTGTCATTACTCACTTGGGAGAAGAGCCCAACTCCCACCTCCCTACAACCTCCTTTCAGGGAGCTGTAGAGAGCAATGAGGTCTCCCCCAGCAGACACTGTCTCTCACATCCAGCTGGGAGCCCATTTCTGATGGGATACAGCTGCAGAATGAGGGCTGGGCACTCGAGTCACCTCTTCAAATCTTCATCTTCTGATGTTAAAGAAGTCTCAGGGAAGCCAGACCCTTGCTTCATGGGCTAATTGTTCTCTTAAGTACTGGACCAGCTCAACTGGTTTGTAAGGAAGGACACAATTTTTGGACTTCCCAAAGACCACAAGTGTTTATGGCAGAGTTGAATTTGGCCTTGATCCTCTATTTTAGATTTTCCTGTCGTGCACATTCCCATCTCCCACGGTCACCCAACATTCAGCTGCTGAAGCCATGCAAAACCAAACTAGACTCATGTCATCTTGTGTTGCAGGGCAAGAAACCTGCCAGCAACCTCTGCTTGTGCCCTGATTTTGTGGACAATTACACCTTGGAATGCTCTAAATAAGATTCTCACCAGTGTTACTGGGTTCCCTGCCTAAGCTCTACAATGAAAGCCACAGTGGATGCGACGGGGATCTTACCTATCACCACAAGCTTTAAGTTCATCTCCAGGACCCCACTGTCATTCTTCAGCCTGACTTTGTAATCCCCACAGTCCTTTCTGTCACAGCTGGGGATGGAGAGCATGGTAAAGGTCTCTGTTTTATCCACACGAATCCTTGTGTCATCCACCAGCTCCATTCTGTCCTTCATCCACGTCGCTGCGATGGGCAGGCGGCCCTCAAAGGGGATCCTGAGCTGCACCTTCTGCCCTGCCTTGGCCACAGTAGGGACACTTGTTAAGTTTTTGAGGAGAACTTTGTCCACCTGAGGAGGATCTAAGCAGATGATAAAAAGTCATGAAAAACTGCAGCTCACAGAGGATAAAGCTCACCTTGGAGGGAAGGGATTCCCTCATGATGCTGGCAGTAATGCTTAGAAGCAACATTTGGTCCTTCACCTGGGGACACATGCTCAGGGCTTCACACACAGGCATGGCCTTTGCTACAGGATAATTGTCACAAAGTATTTGTGATATCATCTTGTTCTTTTCACTCGACCAAGTTTCTCATAGGCCATACACTAAATACAAGAATGAAGAAATCTGGCCTGAGAAAGTGTTACCTGCACCCCAGAATCTTTGAGTTAATTACAGGCTGTTGAGAAAGGCTCCCTAGTGAAATTTGCAAACACAGAATGCACCAACCTGTACAAAAAATCTCCCATTGACATGGCAGTTCTTTATGATAAAGCTGTCTCAGTAACAAAGTACAGGGCTGTGAGAAGACACATTACATTTCAAGCACAAGGCTGCATTGGTAGTTTGAATAGTCTCACCTTCAACAAAAATAGAAGCTTCAGTTTTTATATCTCCACCTTCAAACCTGTATTTCCCAGCATGAATATCTTCCACTTTGTTAATAATTAGTTTGTGGACTAGACCTTGCTTTTCAAAAATGACTCCATCCATGCTTTTTAACTAGGAGGTAAAACACAGAGATCCATTCTTTAAAAAAGGGTGGAAAAAAGGCAGTTAAAGCTTAAACTGGACAGACAAAAAAATTAATAATAAGACTTATGAATGCCATGCATGTTTAATTAAGAGAATATTCTGGCATTACTGATTTGGTAATGTTACATAGAAGCACAATCAATTTACTTGCCACAAAGACATCATTCAAAGCCCATTAAAATCAATTTAAGCAAAGCCTCCAAGCTCTCTCTGTCTATTCTTAATGACAAAAAAACATTGGCCCATACTCGAATATGATACCTCAGAACTTCTACAGCTCTGCCTGGATCCCACAACTGGAATTACTCTCCAGCATTAAGATGTCTATGCTTAACCCTCAACACTAATTAGAAAGGGTACTCTTCCCATTATGCCTGCCTGAAGGATCCTTGAAGATTTTCCCTCACTTTTTGCATATTTCTCTCATTCACCAAGGAGAAGGACAAGGACTGCATTGCAAGGAAGAGACCCACCCCACCTCCATCCATGGAAAAGAATGGAAAACACATAGCCTGTTGTCAGCAAGAAAGGAAATGCCTTTCAGCAGG